AATATAAGTTACTATTTTTTTACCTTTGTTATCGAAGTTCCGATAAATTATTCAAAGGACATCGATCCTTCAACAGAATTATACTTCTTTCAAGCATAGCTTTCACCAATTTATACAGTCATTTATAGATGTAATTTTGTTGATTCTCTGTTTTTTTAAATCTCTCTCAATCCAGTTCTGCTGACATGGTCTTGGTTTAAGCGAAATATCAACACTTCTTGGGTAAAAAAAAAGAAAAGTCATCCTGTTATTCATAAAAACTGAGACTCAAAACGCTTGACATCTTTGCAAATCGATTTCCCGGATGTGCGGACGCGTCGTAGTTATGACAAATTTGGCGGGAAAGTTTCTGTGCTTTGTTTTTGCTCTACCTTTTTTTCTTGTGATTACGTTTACTAATATTAGTATCAATTTGGATGATAAGTGTTTGAGGAATAAATTTCGATGTTTCAACAAATATTTTGGCGTTTTTGGAGTACGGTTTTCCTGTGGTGGTACACGGACGCCGGAATGCGGAAATGTCCTGTCTCGGTCCATGAAAAATCGACTCGATGGTTTACCATTTTTTCTTAGCTATGGCACTTTTTTTTGCTCCAAAATTCGACTCCTAACGCAATGTGTCTTTGCACAGCTGCCAACTAATAACTTAACACTGCAGAAATGCTGGTTTCGTCTTCAGCTTTAACCAAATTTCCCAAGATCATGCAGGAATGATGGTTTGTATTTCTACCTAGAGGAATTCAGTGCCTTTTGTCTTGGTAGTAATTGTCACAACTTAAAGCGATGAGAAGGTAATGAAACGTGCACCTCTACATCGCATTAGATATTCTATGAATCTCATTAACCTTTTTCCAGTTGTCTGTATAAATTTTCTAAAATTTTTCTTTTATTTTATAAGAATAGAGCTCATATATAGAATTCAGAAATCGAAGAAAATATAAGCCTGAATCAGCTGTTTGGCATGTATGTCAATCAAATCTTTATCTATATTGTAATTTAAAAAAAGTTTTTATTTTCCAAGATTGTAAGCGCTCTTTTAATGCATGTATTACTTGGACAGTATTAATAATTTTATTTGTGACTACAATGTCACATGTCGATTAATTTGATGCATCAACCAAATTGGCGCCCATCGCTTATAGTGCAGGTGATATATCATGAATAACGTACGTTGTTGAAAGCTCCCTTCGAAAAGATGAGGTACTATTCAATTCTACTGGGAATTCTGGTTCTGAGTACATGGCAAGTTGAATCTTTACCCGCCGGAAATGCTAGTAAGTAAGCTATGCTCAATCTTAAACGACTTTTGAGTAGGGGGCTATCATACCATATACATGCATACTTCGCTTTTTTATAATTTTTGCGACCCGGAGTATTTGAAAAAGATTCATGGATATTTCCCTAAGGATAATCATTTCATCATATAACTATGTATGAAATACCTATATTTTTTGCATACTATAGGTAAATTCACTTCGGTGACGAGTGAATTCCGCGTTGAATTCACGAGTAAAGCCGTGATATCTATGATATCTATGAGTTTTCCTTGAATCTCATGGCTCAAATTTTAAAGGAGAACAAAAGTATTAAAAAAAAGATATAGAAATGAGCGTGCGCCTGTGAAATTGAAATGTCGCATGAGTTCAGTGCGAGAATTTTATTTTCAGTTTTTTAGCCATTTTATCTAAAGAAATATTACTTATTTATAAATAACTAAAACAAAAGAATTTTTTGTAGCACTCGAATGTCTTTTCAGTATTTTTACTGAGAAACAAGCTCAAACCTGTTTTTTAGAGCGAGTTTGCAAAATGATTGGCGGACCGCAAAATTGCAGACAGACTAAGGCCACAAATCCTAAAATTTCTACAGTTTTCCACTCTTAGCTCCATTAGAAATATCATCTATGAAGAAAAGACTTCGAAAGGTTGTTACTGTTGAATTGAAAGCAAGTTTTAAATCATATTTATTTGAGTCTTTTTTGGACGAACTAAACTCGTAAAGTTTTTAATACTGAAAGCCAACTTCAAAACCTACTTCATGATATGTTTACTTGTGAAAGAAAGCGTTCTAGTGGACATTCTCAATCAAAAAGGCCATTTTTGGCGAATTCAAGACCGATCACTCGCTAATCAAACGAGTTGTCTTGAATTCCCCAGGCGTCTATGAAATGTACGTTCCCTAGGGACTTTGATTCAACAAAAGTTTGATTGACAGCTCCATATATGGAGGTCAAAATAATTTTTAATGTTTTGGATCGAAAAATGCTTTAAAATCAACAAAATATCCTCGGACGTCAATGATTAAATGTTAATTTGAGAAGTATTTAAGTCATTTTGAGCTGTTTGCCTCAATGCTTAGTTTTTTAATGACATTTTAGAAAATTCAAGATGGCGATCCAAGATGGCGGATCCTAAGTTGGCGGATATTCTTGTCAAAATTGTAAACCTTACGCTGATATCAGTTAACAGCTAAATTTTAGCAATTTTCTCAGTTACCTGATCAGTTAACTTTCTAGGTTCACAGTTATACAAAATTTTGTATATAGACAGATAGGTAGATAGATAGAGATATGTACGTGTAGCCGACTTTCCAGATATTGAAGGCGCTTTAACTAAGCAGCCGTTCAGTTTACAAGCATTAGGAAGTTAGATTTGCTAGTCCGTTAGTGTGTAAGTGCCTTCAAGGTTGTGCGGCCGAAGCACTGACACTGAAGATAATCGTACCTGTATGGCACGCCGTTTGTTACTTCTTTTACATAAATAAACCTTTTTTCCACATAAGTAATACTTGTTTCGTATGAGTAATACTTCTTTTTGAATATATGGTACTTCCTTGCTTTTATAGCAAAATTTCTTAATCTATAATAATACTTAGTGTGGTACAATTCAAACTTGTCAGTAGAAAGTGTTAGACTACGTCTCCCTGACATTTAGCTAATGCAATGTTAATAAGTTAATAGTAGATCTCAGTTTAAGTGATTCGTCAGCAGTTTTATAGTTTGGTCTAGAAATTGAAATATGCCAAGTCATGTACTTGTAGTTTTAGATTACCAGGAAAAATAGTTTTGAATTACCAGTAACTTTAATGTCCAGCAAATTTTATGTTGTAGGGTTAGGATCAATATTGAATTTATAGAATGATTGCGAAATGTTTAAATATCATTATTATTATATTTTTATAAGTAATTATTTTAGTTTAAGTTTATGACGCAGTTTAAATAATGTTCACATGATCAATATTTGTAGCATAAGCCAAGGTCGTCATAAACGGGGAATTCCCCTCAGTGTGGAGCTATGCCATAATTGGTTATTGTTTTAGTTAATATCAGATTATTATTTGGGTTTCGTCTAATTTTGTAAACGTATATCAAGCAATGTAAGAATAGTAGTAGTTAGTCAGTCCAGTTAGTCAGTCCAGAGAGTCAAACAAGCATGTAGTAATAAAGCAGAACACAACAGAAGCTAAGAGGAACGTTTTCACTGCCGCGACGGTCCCTTGTGGTCCAACAAAAGTAAGACTTTGATCCAAGAATAAAACTTGTAACGCAATCGCTAGGAGCCCAGTTTGCTTTAACAGCGAGTAAGTACCATGACGCATTCACAAAGAAGTATTACTTATACGAAAGAAGTATTACATTATGGCGGAGAATAGGTTTCTTTATGGAAAAGAAGTATTATTGAAACAAACGGCGTGCCGCTATATACCTGCATATAACTCGGAAATGCGATTTTTGATCAAGTCAATCGAAAATAATAAATTTATTTGATAGATTGATGCAATCAATGTTTCCGAATCGACGTTTTTCTCTTCAGAGATCTGCAACAGCGAAGAGTCCAAAATTCTTCTTTCGTTTGCCGTTACGTTGTTACGTTAAGCAAAGGCATTTGTAATTTCAATGACATTCAGCTCCTCTGTTTCTCTCTGATGACAATTTAGTAGCGTGAGATAGCTGAATTGTTGCTGTGTCATATTTGCGATCTTAGCCAGGTTTTCAGACGACGTGCTTCTGAAAATGATCGTTCGCACGAAACGCTGGTTGCTTGTCTGACTGCCAACAGCTTACATAGGGTCACTGCCTCGACTGACTAACCTTTTTTCTGCTTTGGATAGTTTCCTAACTGCGGAGAGAGTGCACTATAAAGTATTTCATAGGACCCTCGTCCTTCATTATCTCACGCAGGTCTTGACGTTGAGTCTGTGACGTTTTCAACTTGATGTCGTCATCATATGTCTTCATATATACCGAGCTCTAATCATAGATTTTTTTTTAATTTTAGTCTTACTGGTTTCAATTATTATTAATTTTTCGAGAGCAGAAAGTGGGGCGGAATGAAACTAGGCACGCGGTCGTGACGTATAATACCACAGGTAATTCGCATTTTGCTAAGAGCACGCGTCGATAAATAAAAGCGTGCGCAGCTTGTTCTTTCTTTTCTTTAAAGCAATAGTTGGGCGGCCTATGCCAATCACAAGTGATAGCCAGTTTGTGTGATGCAAAGCGATAGAATCGTAATCGGGGTCGTTTCACGCTTCAAATAGCTTTTGCGTAATAGTTAATTGACAACCTGACAACCAATTTCTTTTGGTTACAATTTATCTACCTTCATTTATAAAATAACTTGGATACTACGCGCGTTCTGATTGGCCGACTGCCGTGTTTGTATCAGAGTATGTAAACATGGTTTTGACGTCACCATTTTTTGTCAAGTGCTATTCAAAACTAGAAGTAGAATAGGAAAAAAATCAGCTATTTATACAAAAATGTATCCGAAAACTTGGCAACAACTAGTTATGAGTATTCTGCATGAAGCTTTACTATTTCTTGTAGTTTTTGAGTGCATAGAATCTTCGGCATAAACTATAGATAAATAAACAAAGCAACTTGAAACTGGAAGTGAAAAATCAAAAACGTAATAAGCTTAACTGCATCTTTATTATTGTAAATAACGTGTGAAAAGCAAGTTACATTTTTCTATGAAGCTAAAAATTGAGGAATGTAGTGAGTATTTTGCATTTTATTGAGATACTACTTAAGAAAAGTACTACAAGAATATGTCGATTTGCGCTTGAGAATCGAGATTTCTTTCAGTTCAACGATTGTTCATAATGAGTCTCTTTATAAATTCGTTACATACAAGTACACGATAAACAAGCTACTAGTTTAACCTAAAAATATGAATACCAGCTTATTTATTAAACGTAATTTATCCGACCAAAGGTCTTTATTTGTAGCTTTGGGAATATTTTCGTACGGTTTGTTGTCATTGCAGTTCTTGCATCGCTCGCATAAAATTATCTTCTATCAGTTTGATATTGTTACCAGATACCAGTTCAATAAAAAATCTCTATGAACATGAATTCCACCTTCTTATCCATGAAACGGAGTTCATACGACCAATACTTTCATGTGTTATTTGTGGCTTTGTGAATTTTTTCGTCGGTGATGCTGAAGTGCCGGCACGTCGAAGCAGCTAATCAAACATCATTTAAAGTGTCAAAACAAAGTCTTTCAGCAAGTATATTCCTGCAGTTTTTCAAAAATCTCATCTTGATATCATTTCCATACCAATTCTGAAAGGAAACGTAACATAAAGCTTTACTTCAAATCAGTGAATCGACGAAGATGTAAATGTTTTCATTCAGCGAAAGCAGTACACATTCCGTTGCTGGTTTTACCTACCTTTTTCTAATTGTTTTGCGTCCAGTTGACCTTTTGACAGACATGCACCCTTTCTCCTCAAAGAACACATAGTTTATGATTCATCGGGCAGGTTGGGAGAATTCTCGATGGTTATGCAAACCCTCGACTTCGTCTCGGGTTTGCATAACCGTCTCGAATTCTCCCAACCTACCCTCGTGTTTGCATCAGGCTATGTAAACACGGAAAAAGTTATCTATTACTTAAGTAAAACATGCGCAAACAAAGAAATATCAACTAACAATTATGTTGTTAATATTAAGTGCAGAAATTTATTAAAAAAGCTGTAAGACTTACAGCTTTTTTAATAAATTTCTGCACTTGTAAATATTAACACCATTACATGACTATGACTTTGAATTAAAGTCGAAATATTGTATTCGCTCTTCAGACTCGTTTCTTAATCCAAAATTTGGGTTTCCTAAACGATGTTTTCTTTCCTCGGAATTGTAATCATTTCAATTGTTAATATCAGTTACCAGCTAAATACACCCGAAATTGTAAATTAACAGTTATTATTACTTTAGCAGTTTCTCAGTTAACGGTTAAACCCATTCAGACCTTGGGACCTAATTTTTTGTGGTTTTAAATTTATCTTTTTACCGGGCTTTGAACACAACTGTAAGTTTCTGCATAGACACAGCCTTTTTCTATAAGTTTTTCATTAAGTTAACGTTATTTTGTTATTCAATTACAAGGTATCGTTTTACACCAAGGACATGGCTATGTCTGGCTCCTCTTTAAGAGAGGAAACATCACTACTTCACTCAGTAGTGTATGGATGTCCTTTTCAAAAACTACGTTTGCCGATCTTCAAAGAGTTTTGAGAGTCTCCTGCAAAATGGCCGGATATAATGGCTTTTCAGCGCCATTAATAGGTTGGAAAGTCCGCGGGAAACGGCCTTATATTTCTAAGGGAAAATTTTTCGTCATTGAATATTGTAATGGCAACGAAACCTCATTGCTACAATGTAAACATATATACTGCCATACCCCGAATTCCTGTCTACCTCCGCATGATGAAATGGCACTTACAGCGAACTGTTTGCCCCAAGGTAAATTTCTAGTGAGCTTGTATAACAGCAATTCAAGCATATCTTAACCAACGGCATTTTTAAAAGGTAGCTAGCATTCCAGGGACGGGTCCAGCGCACCCTTCAAAGATATGTATCCTTTAATATTTAACAATTAGACCTCAAGGTCGAGTGGACTACGAGCTAAGCCCATGAGGCCGAGTCCGCGAGGCCGAATGGGCTATTAGCTCGTAGTACACGAGGCTGAGAGGTCTAATTGTTTTAGTATAAACATACTAATCGGTCAAATAATGAAAACAAATTGAAATATACTTAAAATAATTCATTGATGAGATGCCGCCATTTTGATTTTCCCGCGTGTGGTCTATCACAAATTAGACCATTGAGGCGGATTTGTAGTACGTATTCCATATATGGCACAAACTAACAAGCGAATAGAAGCACCTAACAAGCGAATGGAAGCACCTAACAAGCGAACAGGGGTCCATACTTTTTTCACTTGTATATTTTTCTACAGTTTTTTATCGACTTATTCGAGCTTTTTAGCTAGTTAACTTATTAAAAATTTTCTTATCAATTTTTAACTTAGAATTATGAATTTAACATTTTATAGCCTGATCCGTCCTTTTCCCTAAACCTAACCCTTCGACTACAAATGTAAAGCGCCTTAACTAACTTGACCACGAGAGATTATGCTGGCAAACAATGAATTGTTTGTGATATTTAAAGTATTTTGCATTGCTAATAGCACCGGTAAATTGGGATTCCTTAGGGACCGCTATTCGCTTGTTAGGTGCTTCTATTCGCTTGTTAGGGGCCTCTATGCGCTTGTTAGTTAGTACCATATATGGAATACGTACGACAACCCTACCTCAGACCATTAGTAGACTAGCCAATCACTGCGCAGTATGAGTGATAGACCATTAGTATGTTTATACTAAATCTTCATGTTAATGATTTTTGTGGGGTGCACCTCTTCCTGAGAGCACACCCCTACCCGAGGAAAACCTTGGATCCGTCCATGTATTCTATGATTACCTTTGCTAGGTTCAGAAATTTAAAGTGCATATACTGGGGTTCAGCAATTTTTCTTTTAAATGAAAGTTTAGACTGTCATGAATTATGTTTGGTGGGTTAAAATTTTGGTCTGGTAACTAACATTTCATGATGTCATTCACGAAACTCATCACTCAGAAGTGGTCTTCGAGAAAGTGGTCATTTGCGCATTGATCGGTTTTAAAAAAATCATTAGCGGTAACGTATGTCGTAGGCTCAGTCTCCAGCCGTCGGGATTTGCGCCCGCGATACTCTCTCCCCTGACGGCTGGGCGCATGGGGTTCGAAACGTGTCGCCCATGTCCGTGACGTTTTTGTGTAATTAGCATATTATGACGTAACGGAAGTGGATTTTTCAGTGAACGGAAGTGAAATATATGACAACAGCCGTAAAGGTTTTGCTACAAGGCGGGAAATTATGTGAACTGAAAACTTCGCGAAGTGGCGATATAATGTAATGAATAGCGCTTTGAAAAAGAGAAAGGAATGGAAATTATTCCAAGTAAAACATGTGTAGGGTTTAATAATCCAAATGGATGTATTATCTGCCAGAAAGACGAGCAAAATATACGAAAAAGAAAGTCGCTTGGCGGGAAGGTTTCGAAGTCATTGCTAGAAAGAAAAACTTGTGAACGTCAAAGAACAATCTCTTTAAGAGCATTTTGCTGTATTTCTCTATCAGGGGAGAGAGTATCGAAGTTGCACGAAATCCCGACGGCTGGAGACTGAGCCTACGTATGTCGCCGTTATTAAATATTCGTCTGAATATAACTGTTTGTATGGCGCCATTGTTTCATGAAACGACTGAATTATCAAAGGCATTTCTAAATGATTAATTGAAAGTTGGATTTGGCAGATTAGAAGCTTTTTATACTTACTCCTGAAAATTGTAAATTTTCCTATTGTTTTTAAAAGAATGTGCTTGCCAAACTATGGAAAATTAGGATTGTCAAAGGAATTGCAAGATATTAGGCATTCATATAGCAAAAATTAAATCAGTTGGCTTCGAAGACATGTCGATTCGAATTCGGAGACCTAAAAAACTTAACATAGAGGAAAGCGCTATTCAGTGTACAGGCGAGTGTCCAACAAATATTCTACAAAGATGGGAGCATCAGATTCAGTTTCAAAAACAGCGAGATGCTGACACTAATCTTGAAGACATGAACGCCGAGTCGTTGATTTTTTGGATGGTCAAATTCATACAAGACGGGGCGCGAAGGAAACGGCGAAGCTTGTCCGACGAACGAGTAACTTGCAAGGAAACGAAACATTGGTTCAACATTGATTTGTGTTTGATTGCACGAGAGTTTAGAAATTTTGAATATTTTCAGGGAAGTGCGGGGTTGATTATTATTCAACGTTTTCCTGATACAGATCTCATTAATAAACATAGTTGTATATCATTGATACAGAACTAAAATGTTTTATTAATTAGGTCTGTATCAGGAAAACGTTGAATAATAATCAGCCCCGTACTCCCCTGAAAATATTCAAGGCCGCCCCCAACTTTGAGGTTGCAACTACACATTTCATCCAATATAAAGGTATAACCACGTGATTAGATTCTTAGTATATCATTGGCTAATGACATTATGAATTATTAATGAGTTTGATAACTAGAGTCAGTACATTCACTGCTGCAATCAGACATTTAGTCGTTTTAAAGATCAGTTCGTTGAAGTTTAGTCTTGTACCGAAAGCATGTTCCGTGAATGGCGTCACTGGAGGGACTAGTGCCAGGTCTCCATAGCGCTTGACTTTTATCAGCTCATTCCGCAGTTTGAAAGCTTAAAAATATACGAAATTTATATAGTATCGTAAAATTTTCTTTGATTATGTGTTTTTTAATGTCCAAACTTGCATTTAAAAGAAAAATTGCTGAACCCATATATGCACTTTAAGAGCATCTCAACTATCATTAATCCTTATCAGCCATTGTACGCTTACAGTAACGCATTAGATTGATATTGATGTTTATTTTCTTTGGAGAATTAATATCAAACGACATATTTTTCGGATTACTGTATTATTTAATGTTGATGTTGAAATTTTATCATTTAGATTGCAGACTACATGGAGTTTCCGCTGACATATGGACAGACAAGAGAACAGAAAATGTACTTTCCAGTAACTATGACTCTCTATGGAAGCTCGCTCATGTATTTCAGAATAAACCCAAAAGCTCTCAAATCCTGAATAGTTTTTGGGCTACGTTGAAACTCAAAGATAATATTTATTTGAAGCTATCCGGATATTTAATGGTGAGTGTTACCAGCTCCAATGAGGAAGGTCACACCATCCGCGGAAGAGCTGTTTGATTAAGAACTATACCTATACAGCTATTTCAAAAAACTTTGTACGGGAGAAAGGCGAACGGCGATTGTCGAAGGGAAATTGCACGACCGAAAGGAATTATAGTAGCACTGTTCTGATAAACAAAATTTCACTTCCTGGTTTCACCTTACATAGAAATGGAGACTAAATGGAGCCAATGTTTACCACAGACCATCATACAGTACAAATGAGTTGTTATTGCTTTTCAACTAGCAAAACCCATGTCTACTTTCGGTCGTGCAATCGCCGTTCGACCATTGACATTCGCCATTTTATCCGACAACCTTTTTTAAAATAGCTATATGTCGGACAGAACGAAGGGCAGGGCCTTGACAAAGTAGCACAAAAACTGGTGCTCCAAGTTAAGGGTTGAGTGAGTAGGGCTAACCACCCCACCTCGAAATAAATAGATTCGCAAAAGGCACGCAGACTATGAATGCATGCGGATAGTCCAGACTGGATACGAAGAAGATCATCTATGGGCTATTATGAAGGAAACACGTAACCCCATACAATTGTCAATGTCCACGCTTCTACTCTTGGAAGGCTCAGTACGCTCAGAAATTTGTGACAAAATACCTTCGAGCTCAGTTCTCCTCGATAATCGCCTGAATGCCTACTCGCTTATCTTACCTGACGGTGTATTTTGAAGTTGTTGTTTGATCCTTTGTTTGTCTTTAGTCAAATTTCTTCTAATGCTCCATTTATGGCTGTGAAGGTTTAGAAAACGGAGTGTCTAAACGTCAGACAGTCGATGTTTTTTTTTTTTTGAAAATCGTCCAAAGAAACGTAATTAATACAACAATTAGGGAAATGCAATAAAGGACGAAATAATACTGATCGAAAAGTTCCAGAACTAAACGCCAGGCAGTTGATTTTTTCGTGTGAAACGTCGTCGGAACAACACTCTTTAATTTCAATAAATAGCAAAAAGGGAAATGGAATAAAGAACAAAATAAGGGTCATGTCAGAAATTAGCAGTGAGAAGGGGAGGTGGAAATTGAAAAGTGGGTACTGGGGTGATGACATACCAGAGTTATGGAAGAGAAATTTTCTAACCCTCCCTGTATCAGACCGTCCCACTTCAAACATTACCACAACAATTTATCATTGCCCCCAAGCATGCAGCCAGTGAAAGATGGTGCAGGGACTATATTAGACCATTGTTTCTTCTTCTTGAGGGGATAATGATTAGGATATTTGATGGGTAGTTAATAATAATTGGTTAACAGTATAAATAGATCAAATAAAGAGTGTTTTATTTGGTTCAACAGCAACAACAACAAAGATAAACAAAGTATCAAATGTATAAAGTGAACAATGCGTAAAATAGATGCATCAAATGTCCTAATCAACTGCCTATCAAATATCTTAATCCTTATCCCTTCAAAATGAAGAAAGAATGGTCGAATTATAGGCCCTGTACCATTCACTGGATGCTTGGAGGCAATGTTAAATTGTTCTGGTAATGGTTGAAGGGAGACGGGGAGGCTCACCATATTTTGCCTGTCTTATATTAGTGGGGTTAGAAAATTTCACTTCTCAACTATATATGGTTGGTCACCCTATTTAGGTCTTTATTCCATTTCTCTTGTGCTGTTTATTATAAGTAACAGCATGGCTCTGAGGGAGATTAGGGATTAAATGTCCCCGAAGCCGAGGGCAGATAAGTTGAAGTCCCGACGGCCGCAGGCCGGAGGGACTTTTACTTATCTGCCCGAGGCTGAGGGACATTTACTCCCTAATCTCCCGAGGAAGCCATGCTATTACTTTGTAATACCATGATTTCCGAGGAAAAATTGAAGTTGAACTTGAGCGAATTTGAATTCTTGTTTTTTTGAATGCTCCAATGTTTTCAATTCATGCATGAATTGGAATATGACATGAAAAGAAAGGATACGCACTGTTCTAAGAGTATCACTCGCCGAACAACAGTACAAAATAATATTGATAATCCGACCATTGTTACTGATTTCCCACAACGAACTTTGTTTGAAATTGCTTTTCAGTTCTATTCAATGCTGAAGTTAACGAACCTTAACTTCAACCGCGAAAAGTTGTTTTTATATTTGCAAGTATAATGCCAAGAAGCTTGTCAACTATTATCAAACATTGAAATTCGTCAAGTGCACCTGTTCAGCGGTACGAAGTAGATACTCGGAACCAGAGCTACTCGGTCAATTTGTCCCAAAAATCATCCCACATTTCAGTGTGACTGAGACGATAACGAGACCGTTCATTGCAGAGGTAAAAAGAAGACAGCTGTGGGGACATTCAGTTGTCCCTGCTGGAAAGCAAAGGTTTCCTTTGCCTTCCGTTCCTCATGAATAACATGAGGGACGATTAGTCTAATCGTCCCTCATGTTATTATGCATGAGGGACGATTGCTAGTAATCGTCCCTCATGCATAATAACATGAGGGAGGGATGTTCGCTTGTAAACATCCCTCGGAAGACAAAAGAATCCGAGGTGATCATGGTATTATTGAAATTATAGTTCTTCTGGCGACTTTTCACAAAAGGAGTCGACTGTCTGACGTTTAGTTGTTCTGGGACTAAAAGTTTAGACACTCCGCCTAGAAAAAGATTTAGTAAAAGATTCAATGATAAATAACTGTCATGGGAATGATTGTCTTAAGGCGATTTAGACGACTCAACTTTTGCTTACAACCATCGCATGAAACCTGCGTAAGTCATCTTTACGACTGATGGCTACAACTGTTGTAGGGATTTTAAACTAAATTGCTTAATAGCCTCACGACAGTTGTAGCCATGTCGTAAGGATGATTAACGCATGAAGGTTGCATGCAATAGTTGTAGGGAAAAGTTGTGTCGTCTAAATCGGCCTTTATGTGTGAAGAAAAAAATATCTTTAATTTTGCTTCGTTTTTCATCAAACCTTTTTTGTAAAAGTTTCCTTGTAATTGAAGTCTTGAAGAAATCCGATCATGACTTATATTCTGAAAAATAACCCCAAACCAATCCATATGTCAATCGTGACTTTCGGGTCACATTTTAAAACGTAAACAAAACATTGCTCTCTATGAAGGGAATCTTGAAGCAATCTTTCACCCATTCACGAGGCTTTCCAGCAGGCTTTTTCCCCTCATCTCCGACCCGACACCAATCCCATCCTCTACCTCCCTTCTGATCTTCCTCCTATAGAGCCGGTACGCAGGCTATGCCAGATATAATGATAAGTAATAGCGGTTAAGATTTTTGCAAATGACTGCCTTTGAAAAGTTTACTGGATTTCATTTATAACCTGTTTAGTGTAATTTTGATACAGTGAATTTAATTAGGCGGAATAAACATTTCGATTAGCATTTCATTTTTATCTACAACTTAGGCTAAACATCCAGGTTTGTTCAAAATGATTGCTTGTTGTGGCAAGGGTTGTGAAGTATGGTGGAAGAGAGTAGAAGAACCAGGTCTTGAAGATTATGGAACATCGAAGGAATTGATTATTAAATCCAAATTATGCACTGCGATTAGAAGCAGGTAAGAAATAATATATATATTGAGCATTTAATTGATCAGGTTGCAATAGGTCGTGGATCAATGGAGTTGTTTTCAATCATTCCTTTCATTGGGTAATATTTCGGTTATAGGCTCTTCTAACAGCCGCGGCTTTCGATCACATCAAATGTGTATCAAAAACTGAATAAAAATATTTTTCACTAGCTTAAGATTTTAATGAAAACGCAGATGTTTCGGTCAGAACTCTGACTTTCCTCAGTGCGGTGAAATGAAATAGGTTTGCACCCGTAATTTAATGGGTTTAAAAATGTAAATTAGCGCTCAAGAATTTATGATTGTTCTGTAAGCTACGGGTATCACAGTTCTAAAATTTCCCGAGTTACAGTCGAGTTCAGAAAACCAAGCTTCTAAAAAGAGTCTTTTATGATAATTTGGTTCAGACTGAACGTTTCTGGCATTGACAAAATCCATAGAGTGACCTGGTTGTTAAGAACCAAAGTTAAAAATAATTAGATTTTAGGGAAAAAGAAAACTGTATTCAGAAATCGTTCACTTAAAATTCTATTTTAAAATAATCATAATTTGATTTATCACTTACCGGTTCAGTCACAAAGGTCGAAGCAAGCAAAGAAGACTGGACGATCCTCCAAATTCGTTTCTAAAATTATCTTCTGTAGTTGCAACGTTTGACATGTATGACATACATATGTAAACTTGTTTTTTTAAACAATATTCTTGTTTGACACACTACATATCAAAGAATTGATATCATTCGTGCGGGTTCCCTGTGCTTTTTAGTTTTGGGCTTCCTTTAGCRAATCCATGCCATATATGGAAACAAACAAAATGGCGGATTGTTTAGAAGTGTTTTCGCTATAATATCTGCAAGTTTCMGACGATTTCAAGCTTTAAAAGTCGAGAAAATCGACAAAAAACATTCCTATCGAACTTCCAAATAAGGTAAGATTACCATATATGGCTGCCAAACGAAGGATAACTTTTGTGGGGCAATTCTTTGATATGAAACCAACTTTTAATGAAACATGTTTGTCTATTGACCTTTTCAATCATTGATACGTTTAAGCATACAACTCTTTGATGATCAAATTTTAGAAAATTTCTATTTGGTTGTTTGTTGAAGTTTATATTGTTTGCTTTAATTGAACTCTAGTCCAGTCCTGGCCTCTCGTTTCCGACTCTCGCGGAATCGCTGGGGAAAGAGAGTCCAGTATAACTTGCATGCGCATGTCAGATGAGCGACCTCGTGATTACCACACCAATGTGGTAATCACGAGGTTACCTAGTCCTATACAATTACCAAGATGGCGGAGAGCGCGGTGGAAGGTAGTTTCCACTTGAAATACAAAGATAATTTTRGACCKGYTTTTCTAAATGCCGTTAGTTATGCCATTATTTTTCGAATTTTTGACAATATAGCGTGCACGTGAAGTAAACAAACCACTGACCATTATAAATTGCGGGCTCTCCAAATTCAACTTTATTCTGATTGGCTGGTCCTGCACATGCGCATGCAAGTTATACTGGACTCTCTTTCCCCAGCGATTCCGCGAGCGTCGGAAACGAGAGGCCAGGACTGGACTAATTTAACTCCCGAGATCGATCGTTGATTGCATGCGGTTGAGGCGAAGTTGTGTTTACTTAGGGATTGTTAGAGTACAAACACTAAAACTATGTAACACAAATACCACTAAATACTGCTAAATTATGCTAATTTTATTGTTTTCTATTGTTTAATTAACTCTATTTTCTTCTTTCTTGTAAGTACCGTAAATGATCTAATAAACGCCCCCTTTCTAATGAACGCCTTCTATCTAATGAACACCTTCCCTTTGCTTACAAGTTTATATTAAACGCCCCTTTCTAACAAACGCCCACTGTCTATTAAACACCCCCTCCCCCTCCCCTCCGTGCCACCATTCATCACTAGAAACAAACGACTTAGGAATGACGGTAACATAAATCAATCTAATTTGTCTTCTTGGTTCATTAACACTGATAAGTGAGTAACGTTTTGTTCCTTTTCTAGTTCAAAATGAGAAAAGCTTTCTTCATTTCTACTGCATTTCATTGCTACATTTTTACAGTTTTATTTTAGAATAAACGCCTCTCTAATAAACGCCTCCTGTCTATTTAACGCCCCCCCCCCTCTGACCATTGAATTTAATAAACGCCCCCGTCGTTTATTAGATCATTCACGGTAAGCAGTATAAAATGAGAGCTGAGGGCCGTACACAACTGTCGAATGTCAATTAAGTTTTGACAAGCTTTGGGCGGATTCCGGCATCATCAGATCACGAAAATCTAAAACAACAGTAAAACTCGTAAAATTAGCATACGGGACCGAATAACTAGGGCGTATAAAAGTGTATTGTGAAATAATAGTTAGGTGTAAGGTCAGAACAAAAGGTCTTTCAATTCAAAATGATAATTCTAGTTTTACTTGAAATTGTCATGACTTCGTGATGCCGGCGTCAGACGAAAATCTTGTTAAAACTTATTTGACTTTCAGTGAATGGCCCTCAACTCTCATTCTAACTCATAATGCTACTGAAGGACAATTTCCTAATTCTTTGGCAGTATGAGTTCGGTTTTTTCGCTGAAATATTTAGAAAACAATACTCCATTTTAAAATTCCAGGCGCCATCTTGAAAGGTAACCAAGCCTTTGCATGAAAGATAGATACCTGTTGTTCAAACCTAAGACAATAATTCACAGTTACCTATAACTGCAATCTCAACTACTGCCTTTGATGCAAAGGCTTGGCTACCTTTCAAAATGGAGCCTGGAACTGTAAAATCGAGTATTCGTGCTAAAAACGCGAAAGTATATTTTTTAGCACTGCTGTGTACTTTCTGACGTAAGATTAGCACACGCCATATTTTCCGCCCTATCTTCGGTGAAAGTTCGCCTACCCGTCGAATCTTCGTTTTCCGAAAAAGTGTCCCAGACTAATGTGTAGACCAGCGAGCCAAGGGATTGTGACGTAGTACCACAGGTAATCCGTATATGCTAAGAGAGCGCGCCGATAACAGGTATACATAATAGTGATTAATCACTCTAATAAAAGCGTGCGCAATCGTTCTTTTCTATCTTAAAGTAATAGTTGGGCGGCCTGTGGCCACTCCCATCAATGTGCAAGTTCCTTCACAGGAACCCCAAGCAAGTCAAGATCTTACTTATTGCATGCCATGTGTACTATCTTGAGATGTATACGACTTTTCAAGTACTTGAAGGACTACAATATCGTGATCTTGGAAAGATTGACTTAATTCAGGGATTTGTTTGGTATACACCTATACCTCCTTCTATGTTGTACTGGCAGAAGCCAGGTAAGAAATAATACATTATGAAAGTGTTTTTTCGTTCAGCTACATTTTCGTTATCAGTTTTTGTTTGAGAGCAGTGTAATGGACTACGCAATATTTTCAATATTTATCATGAAGGATGTGTTATTGGTTGGCTTGCTGAAGCATGACCTGAAAAGAGCAGAAAAGTTAATGAAGTTCCTCCCTCGCACATGAATTACACTATGCCATTCCCCCTACAATAAATTTAGAAATAGTTGAGTTTCGCGATCTCTTTTACGCTGTGTTAGTCGCAATTGTGTGCAAAATATTCAGAAATTTAAATAAAAATCGTGAAATCTCAAACTATTTTCATTGTCTTCTATACTCACAGATCTCTTGCATTTGCACGGGCTGTTGTAAATGAAAGAATTTATTACATGGTTTTGAGGCTAACACAGCGTAAAAGAGATCGCTAAAAGTGTTTATTAGACAACAACCTTTTTTCTAAAAAGCAATATGAAGCCCACGTAAGCGATCCATGATCGTCTAGTTCTAAAACTTAAACTTATATCCTTTGCACCAAATATATCCCTGTATGCAGGGTTGACACGTACCCTTTGTTGTGCATGATGTTGTGAGATCATTATTAAAAAAATGATTTGTTCCTTCGAGCCTTGCCAAGATATACGTGATTTTTGCGATAAGCTTATATGTGGTGGCTCTTTTAATTAAAAAAAAAAATCAGCTGTACCCGCCTTTGTGATGCAGTATAATTTTAATCAGATATAAAGGAACGATTTGGTTACAACGTGATGCTTTATTAACTCTTTGTTATGACGGTAACACAATAATTTTTCACATCTACATTAAAACTCGACATATCCATTGCAGATGTTTCAATAGCCATGAAATTCATAAGCATTTTCTAAAGAGTTGTATTGATATTCAATCATTATAATTGTTGCCGTTGCTTCACGAGTAGTAAGCGTGTTGATCTCTGTATTTGAGATCTCCTCGTCATCATAATTCAACATACCCCTAGTCCGAACACCCAGACGAGTAATGAGTGCCAGATTTTGGTCGTAAACCTTCATGTTCTGTCCAATATTCGTTAATAGTAGAGACAATATTAATAAAAATGGCGGACGAAATACTGTGCAGAACGAGTTGAAAATTGAGCGAAAGGGATTATGGACAGGCTATAACGTTTGGAATACACAACGTAATATGATTGGCTACCGGATATATAACTCACAATGTGATTGGCTACGAAGATATACCGAAACCAAACTTTCGACATTGTGAAAAAAAAAAAAAAAAAAAAAAAAAACTGACGACGACGACAAACCAAGAAAGTAGCAGCATTTTACTTTAGCAGGGTACGTGTAATTATGCATGCGATCGTGTATATCTTATGTATAATAAATAACAAATAACAAATCTTTCAAATTCTGCTATCAAACAACTGCATGCAGTCGGCGATTCCAAAGGGAATTTCCTTCACGATGAACTTTGACCACATTCCAACACGTACAAAGTAGCATATTTAAGTAATGACGTGCACTAAGAATTCTATAGAGCGCGTAGTGTGAGGGCCATAAAAAGTGGAAAAGATCGAGGTTCCATAACTTCCCGTACGGCTCGAGCAAGCGAGGTTAATAAGATATTTATTATATAGCATTTTCAGTAAAAAAAGTAAAATTAATAGAGAATTGGACATAAAAATACGTTTTTGTTCGCACTTTTCTTGTCATTCAAAATAGAAGGAAAAAAGAAAACCTTGAGAAACCTTGATGGCAAAATCTGGATTCATTTTTGACTCTTTTTTATACAATACAACTACAAAAAGAGAGAAAGCGAGCCTTTTTAAGATAAAAAACGTTTTTTCTCGTTTCATCTGGTCCGTACGGGAAAGTATGGTCCGCTTTTTAGCCAATGAAATCGTGTGTTACATCCGAGCTATATAATAAATATTCATATCTAATGCAGATAACTCTTGCAATCACGATATCATTAAAAATTTAAAAATAATTGTTTTTAACGTTTTCATAATATTTAACATTGGTCATTCATGTAGCTCATGTTTTTTAGGTTCAAGGAAGCTTCATTTTAATCTAATCAAGAATATAAGCTCTCAGATACATCTTGGCTCTCAATTGTTAATAAAAGGTAAATATTCTTTATATTACCATTAAGTAAATGTACTGTCACAAGTTAAGTATAGGAAATTCTTGCTACCCTCCTGTTTCCAGCTTTGTACAAGTTTTGTTGTGCTGGAAGATGCCCATCCTGTCCGTTGACTCTGCATCTTCACGCCCTCGGCAGGAGAATATTGGTGAACAGCAGCTTACAGATGAACTGTGAGGAATATTTTTTTAATTATTCCATCGACGTTATACAACAGCCAAAAAATTACTCCATAGAGGTAATTTATGTTATAACCATTAAGCCTTGTAGAATTCGAATTCTTCATGTGAAGGCATTCTTTGAAAATGATTCTGTGAGGAGTACTTAGGGATTTTGGATTTGAATTCAATCCTCAGTACTAGAGTTATGGCAAGGAGTCCTCACATATTGTTAAATCGCTTCTCTCCTAAAAGTTACAGGAATTAAGCAGTTCTTCATAAAGCATCATCAGCTTTTCTTTGCATTGTAAATTCATAAGAAAATTGTGTCTTTGGTTCATCTTTTGTAAAAATATTTGTTATTAAATAGATTGGATATTATTTCAATGGAGGTGAAAGCCAGTGGACAAAGAGGAGAACCATTGTTAAAATGGTTCGAATTTCTGGTAATAAAGAAACTGAATTTGTATCATTTTATCGATATTTTGTAAACATTTAACCTTTGTTCTTTCATATTAAGACGTGCTCTCTATCTCATTAGAAACGACAATATACAAGTGTGCACTTATGGATTCTCATCACCTAAAGCCATGTGTTGATGACTGGAAAATGTACACAAATAGGCAAAATGCTACTATTAGTTTCTCGAAAGGTGAATAATGCAATCCAAATGCATACAGAATCTACGTATCTCAGGAATTCTGTAGACTCAGTCTCCAGTCGTCGGGATTTCGTGCGCCCGCGATACTCTCTCCCCTGACGGCTGGGTGCATGGGGTTCGAAACGTGTCGCGCATGTCCGTGACGTTTTTGTGTAATTAGCATATTATGAATAACGGAAGTGAATTTTTCAGTGAACGGAAGTGAAATATCTGACAACAGCCGTATTAAAAGGTTTTGCTACAAGACGGGAAATTATGTGAAATGAAAACTTAGCGAAGTGGCGATTTAGCGCTTTAAAAAAGAGAAAGGAATGGAAATTACCCCAAGTAAAACATGTGTAGGGTTTAATAATCCAAATGGATATATTATCTGCCAGAGAAACGAGCAAAATACACTAGTGGCGCTGTTTGAAAAATAAGAGATTTGCCCGAGCCAGTAGGAAGAATAACAAGGACATCTTTTCCAAGAACAATCTCTTTAAGAGCCTTTTGCTGTATTTCTCTAAATTCGTCCAAGCTAAACGACTTCAGAGCGTTCAAACGAGAATCTCAAACGACGAATTGTCCGCCATTTTGTTAAACTGTGACGACGGCTGCCTGCTAATTTATTAATGATATGCCCCTGAAAATATCGGGGGCCACTCGCTGATTGGTCGAGACTGACAATAGCGAACCCCATGCGCCCAGCCGTCAAAGGAGCGAGTATCGCGGGCGCACGAAATCCCGACGGCTGGAGACTGAGCCTAGAATTCTGTCAACCAATTAAAAAGTTTTTATTTTATATCGATCAGTTGACGAAGGCTGTCTTGGTGTGAAATATTTCATGTCTCCATATCTTCCATGGAAGAACGTTTACAGACACATCAGCCTTTGTGTTCAATTTTCATATCGGCTTCCATCACATGGGTTATCTCAGCTTGATGTTTACCTTATCACTGAAAACGGGACGTCACTACATAAATGGTCAATTCAAGGATATCAAAGTGAAGTTTGGAATAGGGGAGGTATTCCTGTTCAAAGCAAAGAATCTTTTAAGGTTTGTTTAGGAAGCACGGAATGACAATAAAAAAACACAGTTGGTGTTCCATTGAAGATCGAACTTTTTTGCCATTCATTGATTAATCAACAATCTAATAGATTTTTCATGTTTCGCCGCGACGATCATGATTTGTTTTTTTAATCTCATAATCAATTGTATACATTTTCAGATAATGTTCAGATTTTCATCCAATCAAATGAATAAAACTCTATGTGGGATTCAAGACTTCCGACTGTCCCTAATGGCGTGTCAAGTTCTTCCAGAGCATGCTAAACCTGGTAAGCCATATAGGACCAGTTTCTTTGATTCTTTAAATCTCGCTTTGTGCATATCTTTCTAATTTTGGAAGACACCGAGAAAATTAAAGGTTAATTGATATGCCTATGCGACGGATATTATATTCATTTATAAAATTTTCGATATGTAACGCGCGCTCTGATTGGCTGACGACCGTGTTTATATCAGAGGACAGAGACACGGCTTACCGGCAAAATTTTCTTTTCGCTCGAAAAATTTTATAAAAGAAATATAAAACGGCCGCTTGTGTCTCTGTCCTCTGAAATAAACACGGTGGGAGTTGAAAAACTCCCACCGAAAAGCTTGCATCTCTCGTGTTTTTCGAACTCACCCACCGTGTTTATATCAGAGGACAGAGACACGCGCGCCGTTATATATTTCTTAAATATATATTCAATACATTTTAATGAATTGGTCGAGTCTTTGAGTCTCTTAGTGTATGTGAAATGACAGCAGAAAATACGAAAAAGAACTACGAAAACGCCATTTTACAGACCGAATAAGACTTTATGAGACGTGACAGCATATTAAAGGGCAACAAAGAACTATGACCCATTTGATCCGCTGTGTGCCAATACACGCCGTTCGCAGGCTAGCTAAAAATATGCCTACTAAACCTGACAGTCCTTTTGTGTTGTAATATCTCATATATTTTTCGATTACTTGGCTTGCAGCCCATGGATCAACCGGCTGATGACAATTCGTCGAAGAGTCTACACTTATATTAAGAGTCGGATTTTTTTTAAAACTCGATCTAGCAGGTTGATTGACAAAAAGGTTGATTGACAACCGCCTACTAAGTTTCGACTCCAATGGGTTGATGAACCGGCTGTAGCCATTCCACCGCCAAGTATATCCTTAGAAAATCAATTTGATTTAGCGTTTTTTTTAGTGGTTTTTACATATTAAAATATGTATAAGCAGTTGTAGCGGGTTGTCATTATTATTTTTTTCGTAGGAATATAAGATCATATTGTTTTATTCTAACATATCCTCCTAGCCAAGGTCTTCACGACCATGCATGAATACAAAAGAGCAGAAAACAAACACTCATGAACTTTTGTAAGAGGCGTGATGGTCTGTCTAGTGGTTAGTGGACCTGACTCATGTCTCAAAGGCCCGGGTTCGATTCCCAGACCGGGCGATCACGTTGTGTCCTTGGCAAGATACTTTACTCTTTCACTGCCTCGTATTCTCGGATAATTAAGGACGCAAAGTCGGAGGTCCCGTCTGCTTTCACTCTAACCCTGTTATAAGGTGGACGTAAAAGAACCACTGAGGACGTAAACAATCCTCTGGCAGTGACCACCCTCAGTGACTTACTTACTTACTTGAACTCTCTCACACCCATGATTGTAAGCCGCGTGGCTGCTGTGCGCCTCAAATGCATTGAAAATGCATAAAAATTGCCTTTTTAGTGACCTTAGATGAAGCATAAACTATGTGTTCTTTGAGAAGAAAGGGTGCATGTCTGTCAAAAGGTCAACTGGACGGAAAAAAATTAGAAAAAGGTAGGTAAAACCAGCAACGGAATGTGTACTGCTTTCGCTAAATGAAAACATTTACATCTTCGTCGATTCACTGATTTGAAGTAAAGCTTTATGTTAACTTTCCTTTCAGAATTGGTATGGAAGTGATATCAAGATGAGATTTTTGAAAAACTGCAGGAATATACTTTCTGAAAGACTTTGTTTTGACACTTGTTTGATTAGCCGCTTCGACGTGCCGGCACTTCAGCATCACCGACGAAAAAATTCACAAAGCCACAAATAACACATGAAAGCATTGGTCGTATGAACTCCGTTTCATGGATAAGAAGGTGGANTTATAAAATTTTTGATATATAACGCGCGCTCTGATTGGCTGACGACCGTGTTTATATCAGAGGACAGAGACACGGCTTACCGGCAAAATTTTCTTTTCGCTCGAAAAATTTTATAAAAGAAATATAAAACGGCCGCTTGTGTCTCTGTCCTCTGAAATAAACACGGTGGGAGTTGAAAAACTCCCACCGAAAAGCTTGCATCTCTCGTGTTTTTCGAACTCACCCACCGTGTTTATATCAGAGGACAGAGACACGCGCGCCGTTATATATTTCTTAAATATATATTCAATACATTTTAATGAATTGGTCGAGTCTTTGAGTCTCTTAGTGTATGTGAAATGACAGCAGAAAATACGAAAAAGAACTACGAAAACGCCATTTTACAGACCGAATAAGACTTTATGAGACGTGACAGCATATTAAAGGGCAACAAAGAACTATGACCCATTTGATCCGCTGTGTGCCAATACACGCCGTTCGCAGGCTAGCTAAAAATATGCCTACTAAACCTGACAGTCCTTTTGTGTTGTAATATCTCATATATTTTTCGATTACTTGGCTTGCAGCCCATGGATCAACCGGCTGATGACAATTCGTCGAAGAGTCTACACTTATATTAAGAGTCGGATTTTTTTTAAAACTCGATCTAGCAGGTTGATTGACAAAAAGGTTGATTGACAACCGCCTACTAAGTTTCGACTCCAATGGGTTGATGAACCGGCTGTAGCCATTCCACCGCCAAGTATATCCTTAGAAAATCAATTTGATTTAGCGTTTTTTTTAGTGGTTTTTACATATTAAAATATGTATAAGCAGTTGTAGCGGGTTGTCATTATTATTTTTTTCGTAGGAATATAAGATCATATTGTTTTATTCTAACATATCCTCCTAGCCAAGGTCTTCACGACCATGCATGAATACAAAAGAGCAGAAAACAAACACTCATGAACTTTTGTAAGAGGCGTGATGGTCTGTCTAGTGGTTAGTGGACCTGACTCATGTCTCAAAGGCCCGGGTTCGATTCCCAGACCGGGCGATCACGTTGTGTCCTTGGCAAGATACTTTACTCTTTCACTGCCTCGTATTCTCGGATAATTAAGGACGCAAAGTCGGAGGTCCCGTCTGCTTTCACTCTAACCCTGTTATAAGGTGGACGTAAAAGAACCACTGAGGACGTAAACAAWYCWCTGGCAGTGACCACCCTCAGTGACTTACTTACTTACTTGAACTCTCTCACACCCATGATTGTAAGCCGCGTGGCTGCTGTGCGCCTCAAATGCATTGAAAATGCATAAAAATTGCCTTTTTAGTGACCTTAGATGAAGCATAAACTATGTGTTCTTTGAGAAGAAAGGGTGCATGTCTGTCAAAAGGTCAACTGGACGGAAAAAAATTAGAAAAAGGTAGGTAAAACCAGCAACGGAATGTGTACTGCTTTCGCTAAATGAAAACATTTACATCTTCGTCGATTCACTGATTTGAAGTAAAGCTTTATGTTAACTTTCCTTTCAGAATTGGTATGGAAGTGATATCAAGATGAGATTTTTGAAAAACTGCAGGAATATACTTTCTGAAAGACTTTGTTTTGACACTTGTTTGATTAGCCGCTTCGACGTGCCGGCACTTCAGCATCACCGACGAAAAAATTCACAAAGTCACAAAAAAACACATGAAAGCATTGGTCGTATGAACTCCGTTTCATGGATAAGAAGGTGGAATTCATGTTCATAGAGATTTTTTATTGAACTGGTATCTGGTAACAATATCAAACTGAAGATAATTTTATGCGAGCGATGCAAGAACTGCAATGACAACAAACCGTACGAAAATATTCCCAAAGCTACAAATAAAGACCGTGGTCGGATAAATTACGTTTAATAAATAAGCTGGTATTCATATTTTTAGGTTAAACTAGTAGCTTGTTTATCGTGTACTTGTATGTAACGAATTTATAAAGAGACTCATTATGAACAATCGTTGAACTGAAAGAAATCTCGATTCTCAAGCGCAAATCGACATATTCTTGTAGTAATTTTCTTAAGTAGTATCTCAATAAAATGCAAAATATTCACTAAATTCCTCAATTTTTAGCTTCATAGAAAAATGTAACTTGCTTTTCACACGTTATTTACAATAATAAAGATGCAGTTAAGCTTATTAGGTTTTTGATTTTTCACTTCCAGTTTCAAGTTGCTTTGGTTATCTATAGTTTATACCGAAGATTCTATGCACTCAAAAACTACAAGAAATAGTAAAACTTCATGAAGAATACTCATAACTAGTTGTTGCCAAGTTTTCGGATACATTTTTGTATAAATAGCTGATTTTTTTCCTATTCTACTTCTAGTTTTGAATCGCACTTGACAAAAAATGGTGACGTCAAAACCATGTTTACATACTCTGATACAAACACGGCAGTCGGCCAATCAGAACGCGCGTAGTATCCAAGTTATTTTATAATGCGCTATGTAAGACCACATATTATCATTATTATTATTATTATTAACTTTTCGAACAACGTGACATTTATATCACAGGGTATCGATGTCCAGACTCTCAATATCAATGTAAAAGTGGAGAATGCATTGACAAAAATAATCGATGTGACGGAAGGTACAATTGTGCCGATGGTTCCGATGAGATTGATTGTACCTGTCTTACTGCTCAATTCAAATGCTTCAATGGCCGTTGTACAGACGCATCAAAACTCTGTAATGGAATACCAAATTGCAAACAGGCAGCAGAAGATGAAATGCGGTGTGGAAAAGGTAGTGGCTAGCCATAACTAATTCATTGTCACGTCTGCTTTTTTTGTTTGTCTGTTTTTCCGCTTTTCATTCATTTATTATATTACAAAAAGAGAAGCGGGATTGTAGTACGTATTTCATATATAACACAAGCGTATCCAACATATACTCCTTTTCACTTCTATATTTTTCTACACTTTTTTAATCGAATTATTCCAACTTTTTAGCACTAATCAAAACATTTTCATCACATTTTAGCTTACAATTATGAATTTAACATTTTATAGGCTAATCTGTCCTTTTCCCTAAACCTAACCCTTTGACTAGAGCTACAAGTGTAAAGCAACTTGACCAGGAGGGGTTACGCTGCCAAACAGCGAATTGTTTGTAACACTTAAAGTATTTTGCATTGCTAATTGCCGCTATTCGCTCGTTTGGTGCTTCTATTCGCTTGTTAGGGACCGCTATACGCTTGTTAGCTAATGCCATATATGGAACACGTATGACAACCCCTACTCTAAAAAGAGCATTTTTTAATCGTAATGCAAATATATATTTAAGATGCACTTCATCCTTGAAGGCATATTTTATCGCATCATTTTACTTTGTCCTTCTTTTTACAAGAACATTCACAGTGTCCTGAGGGTCAATGCATCGATGGAAAATGTTCAACGTCAACATCCCCTTGTCAAGAACGGACGTATGATATTTCCGAATGCTGTATGTATAAAAATAATCAACGATCACTAAAAAATATAATATTATGGGTGGAGCTTAACATCTAAGGCAATAATAATCGGGTTGGGGGAAGGGAATGGGAATTGAGAATCAAGATTCACGGAGGTGATACTGCTCTAAGCTTAATGACTTGAATGGCTTATCCAGTACTTACCTGCATATAAGAACCTGCTAGCTTAAAATATCAATTATAAGAACCTGTTAAAACTAAAATCTGTTAAACAGGTTCAAGAGTTTTTCACCCTTATCTCGATGAGAAATATCATCTATGAATTGAAGACTTTGAGGAGTTGTTACTAAAGAATTGAAAACAAGTTTAAATTATGATTTTGATACAGAAACATGGCCGACACAAAGACGAACACAGACAAGCCGGTGTTGGCATTGCAATTAAGGGCGTACTGACATATCCGTTTCTAGACGACCTGGTTGCTATGCTAGCCGATGCTAGCCAATCGGAGAAGCGGGCGCGCGCGCGTTTTCATGGCGGGAAAATTTTTACTTCCGGTTGAAAGGTTTTTGTTTACATAAAATGTATAGGTATCATTCAAAAAATAAAATCTTCGGTGCAAAACATCAAATGGACGTGTTGTTTTCAATATTTATGTTCTTCAAAGCCTCCTCTTCAGAACCAAGCATGGGTTTGGCGAAAAATTAAAAAATACGAAAGTTATTGGCATTTTTCGCTTATTTTATGGCATTTAAAAAATCGTAAAAAGCTTATTTGGCAATCATTCTAAAAACGAATGCTTGGCTTTACGGACTTAAAACTAAAGATTAATTTCATCCATTTTAAATCGTTTAATATACTTTGCTTGATGAAATTATATAATTTTTTCGTATTTATGACGTCACGCGATGACGTTTGGATGTTTGGGAAGGCTTAATAATCAATACGAAAGCAATTTTACTTTTGTTTGTCATTTTAGAGAATTAATGAATTTCCCTAGCAACGGATATGTCAGTACACCCTTAACAATCGATACTTCAGCCTTCTCCCACATGGCGTCAACAAGCGTTTCCTTCTTTAAAATTAATTTTGTTCCTGGCAAACTTTTTTAAGGTCAAAAAAGGGTTATATAACTTTTTGACGGTCAAAAACGGCACAATTTATTCAGGAAATTTTTATTTTACTGGCAAAAATTCTTAGAAAGTATTCCTTGCCTGGAGAGTTCTTTTTTCCTAAATTTGTCGCTAGCAACCAGTTCTGACTTCCATCTGGCTGGGACATAAGAACAGATTTATTTCTCCCAGGAACCCGTTGGTTCTGACAAACTTTTGTTACTGAGGGATTTCAAAGCCAGAGTGGGATGCGACTACACCCCTTGGGACAAACTCTTAGGTCGCCATGGTGTCGGAAAGGCAAACTCAAATGGAATTCTTCCCCTCACAACTTGCGCTCAACGTCAATTAGCAGTTACTAACACTTATCTTCAACAGCAACCTTCGGTCTCGCCGTGGGCTATTGAGCCGTAGCCTATTCGGTCTACCGGTCTAATTGTTAAATATATATTTCTCATTTAATAAGAACCTTTTTAAGAACCTCTGTAGCCTAAAATTGTACTAAGCACCATTTACATAAGGAGCAGTTTAGGCTAAATTTGAAAAAAAATGAGTTCTTATAAACGGGTAAGTACTTTAACTTGTATATAACAATATGTATCACGTTGCTGTTTTATTTAGGGAGCAATAACTACCAAAAAGATATTTGCCGGGAAACAAATGCCAATTGTAAAACAACGAAAGGTATAAATCACTAGTAAATTCTTTGCTCAAAATTAAATTATTTCGTAGAATGTGCTACGTACGGGATTTCATACATCCACGATTTGTGTGTGTAATGCAATAATCAAGCGAGGAATAAGCTCTTCATTATATATTTATGCATAAACAATTTAGAAAATATTGATCGATCACGAATTGATGCCATCGGCTTTTTTAATTCACCCTCAAGGCTTGAAAAAACGCTTAGAATCGAAAATATGATTAATCATTCTGCTTAGGCTTCTGCTCTTCTTCTTAAGTTTTTCATAGGACTTTTGAATCTTTTATTTGCTTATTTAACATATGCCTAACATTGTTTTATGTCAGCTGAAAGTTTTAAGCTTTTGCACCAATCACCATTTTGTAGGATTTTATTTTGGTCGCAGTGGCGCGTGCAAAGCATTCAGTTTGCTGGAAAGGGGGCAATGCCCGAGACGTACAATAATGAGCACGAATTTAAGTGTCACAAATGAAACCGTTTGTCAATTGGTGCCACTGAATTTTCATTGCGTGCGCATGAAACAGCGTTCCAACCAAATGATTATCCAGTCGTTCAGTTGATTGTCTATTGATACTGCCAAATGTTCGCGCGTATTTTATCGCTATTGCGATGTTATTGCTCGCGGTGTACAATAAAAGTTATTGACGCATCGCTTGGCACAAATAAATGTACGTTTTACTACTCTAATGACCAGCAAAAAGGTGTAAGTCAATAGTCAACTTTAGATATTTTGGTTCGATGACTATGTACAAAAGAACGCACACGAGGCTCCGGGGAAACAATGGATAATCTTGATTTATTCTTTTATTTCCCCGGAGCCTCGTCTGCAATTCTTTTGTGCATGGTCACTGAACCAAAATATCTAAAGTCGACTATTATTCTTTATTTCATTTGTAATATGATGTCAATGAAAGATAAATGAAATAACTGCGACGTGTCTCCAGCAGAGTACTGAACTACTCGCTTGGCTCGTGCTATCTCATGGACCGCGGAGCAGGGGGGGCTTGGGGCTACAGCCCCCCCAATAATTTTTCCGACATTTTGAATTTTCTTAAATAAAGAAGCGAAGAGCCTCCTTATGAAATTTTACCATATATATTCCTTAAAAATAGTGCAAATACTGAGCGTGAACAATTAAAATTGAAGCTTTTTTGCGAAGTCTTTGGGATTTATTGATAATATGGCTGACCACCGTGTTTGCGGTAAAATTGATAACGCCTCAAAATGCTGGAAATGACATATCCGAGAGTTAAGATTTCAAAAATTACCGAACCCCCCTTATACCTCCTCGCCGCTAACCCCTCCCAAACAACTAATTCACGCTCCGCGGTCCCTGTATCTTCTAACAAGTGCAAAGTAGTGACTAATTGTTAAGAACTATTTAGTTTTTATTTCACGAATCAAATACAATTGTTCTACTTTTCATAGAGAACTTCTATTCTATAGGCATCTGTGGGTTTGACGTTGGACCTTGTGGGATGACAAATGAAGGATGGACCTATCATTCACCAACTAAAAAAAGTATCAAAACCTTTGACCATTCCTTTGCAAACGAAGGTATTCATATAAAAATTACAGACCAATTATTTAACTCTTATGAGTCGCATGAGAGATCTCAGTAACTTATTGTTTTGATGACTTATTTAAAAAACTCATACATAATTAATGAGCTACTAGGCCAATAGAATGAGCCTATTTGGTCACATGCATGGACCTTTATATCTGATAAAACACTCCTTAATAAGGGTGACCTTTATCAGATATAAAGGTCCATAACCCTAGCAAAGGTCTCAGGTTTGAAACCTGATCATTGACCAATGCAGGATGTCAACCGATTTCAGTGAACAGCCAAGAGCGGTTCTATTTTACTTTATGCGTATTCAATGTGGGATGACAAGAGTGCTTTTTAAAGTGATTCGCGCATGATCAGTTTGCCCCATTTATCTCTGAACATATTTGTACGGCAATTTCTCCAAGAATTTTAACGGATTTGAGTTTCAAATTAGTGTTGGGGTTTTTTAAGCCGTTTAAAACACTCGAGATCGTGTTTTTCTCTCTCGTGTTTTAAACTATACATAAACTACACGTGAAACCTCGCTAATCATTTGTCCTTCATGCTTCGATCCCAAAGTATAATACAACCTCCTCTAGTATTGGGATTCCTATTAGTCCAAGTAAGAGAAAGTTGTAATTATGAGTTTACGTCCATATTTTCACTCTATCAAAAGGTAGCTACTACATTGCAAGTCCAAGAGACAGTAGCCAATCCACCGTCAGCGTATTGTCGATACAATGGTCCAAAATCAAACCTTACTGCATGCAGTTTTGGTATACTGTTCCTCCAAAGTCTAAATCGTCAATAAAAGTTTGCTATACAAAAAACAGCAATGCAACATTTTGTCTTTGGAAAATGCCTAAAAGCATAACAGATCACTGGACGTTTGGACAGGTTGAAATCCCTGGCAATTTAAATGGAAGTGTAAGTTGCAAAAAAAAAAAAAAAAACTTTTGCTCTAATACATTTATGGTCATTTATCGAATAAGTGTCTAAGGCCCGCGCTATACGTCGAACTTCACATGTGCCGAATATAACCTTTTATACTTCTATTTCAGTCGACTTAAATGATTAAATACGGGCAGTTGATTTAGACGCCGAATCAAGTGACGAATTTAATTCTCAATTCCCTCTCCGTTAAAAAACTCGCTTTTTCATGTTTCAACTTCTTATCCCTTTACAACTACCGATGCTAACTCTTTTACTCCCTTTCTTCTCCTTGCGGGAGGAAGGTGGAGGAAGGTGGAAATTGAAAAGTGGGTACTGGGAATAAGGTGGCATACCAGAGAGTGAAATTTTCTAACCCTCCCTGTATCAGACCGACCCCCTTCAACCATAACCACAGTAATTTATCATTGCCCCACAGCAGCCAATGGATGATGGTGTAGGGTCTACAATTGGACTATTGTTTCTTCGTTTGGAAGGAATAAGGTTTCGTAGATTTCAGAACAACCGAGAGCGTCCGATTTTATATATATAGAGAGAGAGAGACAGAGAGAGAGAGTAAAGGGGGTACTTCTTTTCTAATCTGTTTAATTATCTTTGCTAATTGTTGATTTTCGCGATCTCCTTAACGGTTTGGTAGCCTCAATTGTGTGCACTAAATATTTAGAAGTTTAAATAAAACTCGTGAAAATTTCAAGCTATTTCCATGTCTTCTATACTCACGGCTGTCTTGCATTTGCACGGACTGTTAGTGAATAAAAGAATTTTTTACATGGTTTTGATGCTAACACAGCGTAAACGAGATCGCTAAAAGGGTTCATTTGCGATTGTGATATTTTTTTAATAGGTAAAGATTGTTGGCAACTCAGAGGGAGATTCAGTGCCAGTTGCTATTGATGATCTTAATTTTATTGAGACCTCTTGTCCTCAAGTTACAATTCAGAGTAAGTAGCCTTTTTGTGACGAAGGACTTCTGACAAGGCCTCTCGTCACTATGTCATCGACCATGAGTGAATGTCTCTAACCAAATCGCAGTACTTTCGACCAAATCAAAGTAATTTCGGATTACGAACCTGTACGAAAGGTCTACGAAATCCCAACGACTGAAATTTACGATGAAAAATCGACTTGGCCTGACCATGTGCATTCTCTAGCGACATGTTTAGAAAATTTGAAGAAACTTTGTTTATCAATAGCAAAAAGGCGATTTTGATTATTTTATAGGCATCTTTTATTTTTTGAAGTATTTATTTACTTTGCCTTAGAGGTCAACAATTTGAATTAAAAACGTATTAGATATCATGATAGCGACATTTAGTTTACCGCGTTTGATTTTATCAGTTTGCAGGGTATTAATTAGATGACATTGTAGGTCAAATTTCTATCGTTTTGAAGTCGTTGCAGAGAGCAAGGGCGCCAGGATAACCATAACAGTTTTGAATAATATCATGATTGTATTTGTTATAGCTTTGGGTATCTTAGAAATGCACTTATCTGACTTCTTTGTGTATATCTTGAGTGTATCCCGAACTCCCCTGGATAGATAGATAGATTTTTGACGATTTGTGGGCAATTTTCTCCACTCCTAAGGATCAAAAACTGTACGTGTTTATTTCAGTGCACCACGATATTCAACGGCCGTTTATTACGTACAATATTAAACGAATTTGATTTTATACTTATATATTACCTTTTGTTTGTATAGCTAGCCCTTCATGTTCTTTTGATTTACTTCAATGGCCTTGTAACATAAAGATCGACAACCCATGGATACGTAGCATTAGCCAAAACAGCCGACCAGGTACCTGAAAACCAATCACTGAATCCACACACGTTTCCAAGTTGATGTGCAATGTTGTGCCTGTGGCTACACTAAGTACACTTTACAGCATAGTAGCAGTGAATCGAACTAATTCGAACGAAAAATCAATCGAATATAATCAAACATATAAATCGACTCAATTGATTTTTGATTGGTTTTGGAATCGAACATATTCGGACAATTTCGTGCACAAAATGCATCGAGAACCTGCTTATGGGTGGGCAGGCCTCAATATGAAATCGTCCTACTCGCGTTCTACTGCGACTCGGGCATTTTGGAAGAGGAATCGTATTCTTAAATGCGGAATTACATAGAATTTCGATAGTTTTTTGACCGGAAACTGACTGGAAACAATATTGTTTTGAGTGACGAGTTCCGTGAATGACTTCATGAAATGTTAGTTACCAGACTTCTGCATCGTTCCTAAATTTTGGCACAGGAGGCCCAAAACAGGCATTTTAACCACTTTTAGGCCTTCAAAAATGAAACTAATTTTTTCGAGTTTAACCCACCAAACATAATTCATGACAGTCTAAAGTTTCATTTAAAAGGAAAATTGCTGAACCCATATATGCACTTTAAATTTTAACATAGGTAATACCAGCTTTGCATTATACCTGTCGATTTCAAACGTGTCTAGCAAGATATCAAGTACTGTGCTCAGACCAAAAAGAGATGGATTGAAGTGCTTACAATTTTGGATGAACAGTACCGGGAAATATACATCAAGAAATATGGATATTCTTTATAAGACTCAGAACAATTGGACAGTTGTTTTTAACTACAAATCGATTACACCAGGATGGGTCTACTTTCAGTTGCCAATACCAGAGGAAAACAATTTACAGGTAAAATAAAGTTTAGTAATGCCCAACAAAGCATATCATGCCAATCGTTAAGTAAATTTCTAAATAGATTTACCATCAAAACTATAGAACAATTGATTTCCACATTTTCAAGAAGCTATGCCTTGTAGCGATGGAATTGTGAATTTTTAATGACTTTGCGTTTTTGCATATGTGATATCTTTGTTGATAAGGTTAATTGTGTCTTATTCATTGCATAAAACAAGAAACGATTCTTTATCGCAATTTAATAATAATAAATGATACAGTTCACTAAGTTTTTACGATACAGAAATGCCTGTAGTTGAAAAAGACTCCGAGCATCATGCATCAGACATATCCTTGTTAAGATGCACATTAAAAAACAGAGCCTCCCATAGGACGCTAGAGGCCGCGAGAGTATGGTCTGGGTACGATAATAAAATAAGTTTATGAAAAGTATTAACTTCAACTATGGGTCGATCACACTCTCATATCCAGATCTTTCTCATATTCCCAACGGAAAGGCTAAAATCGATAGATTTTGTGAAGGAAGGCTTAAGTAAATTTTGTGTAAAATATCTAAAAGTGCTTGCTTTGTTAATTGATTGTTAATACATGTTTTAGGTTGCAATAAAAGGAGAAAAAAGCAAGTATTCGTCACTTTCAATAGATGACATTGTATACACGAAATACCGATGCAAAATGATCCCTAGTAAGTAAGATTGCAATGAAATGCTCCAAAATACATCTTTAGTAAGGCCTGGAATTCTTAAAAGGGCCAGCTATGCAGGCTATTCAGGTTAAAAGTGAACTACTTAATTTGCATTGAGCCCTTAAAAAACTGAACAAGGACATGAACTTAAAGTGCTTATAACCCCTAAAATGACAAAAATTCTGGCTAATCTTGAAGATGTCTTGAATGCATTCCTGCAGTCAGAATTCGATTTCTTCAAAACCTGAATATTTTATAGATTTTTAAAGAATATTTTTTAGCTAGGTCGGACGTGTATTTTAGGCCTGGGGCGATATCCGGAAATGACGACAGGAGAGGTAGTCTAATACCGGAAGTGAAGTCGTTAATGGCATTTGTCTTGTAAACATATGGTCGATCTAGTCACGGCTTTCTCTTCATCCTATTCGGAAATCAGGTACGACTCAGCTGACTCTGAGTATAATTATATACCTGGT